AACTATCTAGTGAAATAAAGATTGTAACGAATGCAAATAAAGTATATCAAAATCAAGTAGCTGATAGGAATGCCTTGCTTAAAGAAGCAGCAGGTCGAGAAGAAAGACTACAACACGAAGTACAAACCGGAAAGGTACTTCTTAAGGAAGCAGCTGACCGAGAAGCAAAACTCCAACAAGAAGTTCAGAATTTGAAACAGGAGCTTAGCACCTACAAACGACAAATCCAAATGATGGATACCACTTTAACACTCGATAAGATTCTTGATTCCGGCAGGAAAACTTCTGCAAAATTTGGTTTGGGCTTCACTGGAAGTAACTCCAAAGATCAGACCGTATTTGTCAAAGCATCCGGACCTGATCCAGACGACATCCCTGAATGCAGCACTGTGAAATGCTCTTATGGTAAAGTAAACGTTCATAAGATGAGATATAAGCTATATAATCCTGTTTGCCACTATTGCAGGTTACGCGGACATACCAGACCTGAATGCTACTATTTTTACAAGGATCAAAGAATTGAGAAGTTCAGGCACAAGAACATACAACCTTTCACAAAACAAATTTGGGTTAAAAAGAATGATTATATATCGTTTGTTTCGTTTCACTCTAAAACTGCAGAAAAGAGGAAGGTGTCTCATTTAGATGATGTGGAAACTCAATCTGACCGTAAGTATTTTGAAGGCTTCAAACACTCAGGAAGCTGGTACACACTCTAACTCTTCTCCTTTAATTGGTATTACCTCAATACCCGAGTTTGAGAATCCTAATGTGTTACAATTTTTTTCTGGCAATCTTCTTTCGCAGTCTTCGTTTTCCATTTATATATATGCATTTTTTTCTCTGTTTTTAAATGTGCCTAAGATGAATTTTGTCTTTTATTTTATGTGAGTGGCTTTAAAATTGAACATGAATTATCCATTCCTACTTCTATATGTGTGTATCTCTGAATCTATTCACACATCAAGTACATTTGATTATTCTGGATTCGTTCTTTTTACTTGTTTGTTTCATATTTATCTTTAAAGTGTTCGTTTAATTTGCCTGGGTTACTCTTTATGTTTGGTTATTAGCTGTTTCTGTATGTTCACTACATGTTCTTTTTACATTTAATTCGCCTGGGTTACTCTTTAAAGTGCTCGTTTAATTTGCATGGATTAAAGTGTCCCTTTTTGTTCGTTTAATTTGGTGCAATTTGATTAATGTGTGTATTCTCTTGTGTTACTTTATGTTTATGTGATTGTGGTTTGTTTGGTCCGGTCATGACCGTATTTGTGTTTATTCATGTGTTTCCTGCGCTATCTGTGCTTCAATTGTTTATTTGTGTGTTTTCCGTGATATCTGGTCTGAATCTGTGCCTAAATTTGGTTTATATGTGTCTATGTCTGAATTCGATTTATTTTGAATCTTTGGCTTGCTTTACATGAATGTGCTTACTGTTTTATTTGATAATTTGTTTGACTCGAATTGAGAATTGAAAATTCCTGAATTTTTTCTTATGTGTTTTGCTGAGTTGTTTGCAAGTTGCGTGTGCATGGCTCTAGGGCTCTCGTTTTTTTTTTTTTTTTTTTTTTTTTAAATCTTCTGCCGGTTCAAACAAAGCAAATAACTTATTATGGAGTCCCAATTATAGCTTCACGCTAATGTGAAATTCTTGGCAAAGGAAACAATCACGATGTACATTTTGAGGGGGAGTTCTTCTTAATCTCTTATGAACAAATTCAATTTGTGTATTTATTGGGTATTTTCGGTTATATTGGATTTCTTGGGTATATATGGATTCTCTTACTGGACTCTATCAGTTTTTGGATTATCTCGTTGGGTTATCGTTTTATTTGGCTTATCATAATCTCTGGGGTCTCATTTTATAATCATCACCTTATTTGGATTCTTCTTGGATTATCTACTTGATGAGATTATTTCTGAAGAATATTTTGGATGGGATTGCTCATACGGCTTTATCTTCTTGGTGTATAATATCTGATACTGATGATGCTGATGACGGCTCAGTTTCGGGCACCCCGTCTGCACGGTATATCTAATCCACTATTATGATGTTCACCTTCCTTTGTCATTTATTTGGCAAAAGGGGGGAGTTTTGGAGTAAGGGGGAGTATTATGGTAACTTTTGGAGATTTTGGAATCTTTTGGATTATTATGGTATTTTTTGGACGTATTTTTTGGTAAGGACTATGATGCAATATTTGGTAGTCTGGCAGTGGTTACATTTGTTTGGTTGTTTTTTGGATTTCATTATGGAAATAATAGAACTATATGTGTTAGGGGGAGTAGTAGTTTTGTTTGGTGCATCTAAACAAGTTGAATGGATGTTTCGGGTTATGCTACTCTCACATGAACAAGTTATTATATGATGTGGTATGCTATGAATTCGATTCGACTATGTGTGATCCAAGGCTTGAAGAATTCAAATCAGGTACACATTTACAAATGGTCCAAAAGGAAATTACGTTTTATTTTTGTCCTTATATCTTTGTATCTTGTTCAGTATCTATACTAAGGGCCGTTAATAAAATTAAAACATTTCTCAGTTTTTTTGCCCAAAGTATGTGATACTTAAGTTTTACCAAATAAAATGTCAAAGGGGGAGATTGTAAGTGTAAAAATATTTACACATTAAGTTTTGGCTATTTTATTTAGTAAATAGTTTTATTATTTATTTAATTAATTAGAGTTGTTGAAGTTAAATTATATTTTTGGACCATGAGATATAAATATGTGGATGATGTGCCTTGGAGTATGAAGTCAGCGTGAGAAGATTTCTAAGAAAACAAAAAGTGTGGCAGTGGTTATTCTAACAAGGAAAGACAGTGATTTATTCTAACAAGAAAAAGAAGAGGAGCTACATTTGGGGATCTCAAAGGGAGCTCATGAAGTGCTATAAAAGAGTGCTGCTCAAATGAAAACACTGCTAATTTAAGTGATATACATTGTGAGAGCTATTCAGATTTTACGAAGCAATTTATACGTTAAATGTAATTTCTGATTTAATTCGTAAGAGTATTTATATTGTACTGCATGATCAGTACGTGGTACTGCTGAAGCAACTTGTGAAGATAGTTCGGGTATTCGTGTGTCAGTCCTGATAGGTGTTAGAAAGAGTGGTAGTGGTAAAGGCTGGAGGCCGTATTTATTTACCTCTTGTAATACTCCTTTGGTGAACATCTATAGTGGATTGGGCAGACGTGGGTTGCCCCGCAGATGTAGGAGAAGGAGCTCTGAACTGCGTAACAATTTACTTGTGTTTTTATTTTATTTATGCTTTCTGCAGTTATTATTTATTCTTGCATAAACAAGTTTAATTAATTAACTAAACTGGTGCATAACACAATTATCTTATAAAAACACATAACGTTTATTTTTCAAGTATCACGGTACAATTTCAAAAATAAATGTTGTTCACATACGTAATACGTAATTAACAGGGCAAAAAAAGGGGGGAAAAGGAAAAAGAATAGCGAATGCACATGATGATTTTTGATAATCAAATGAAAGAATGATTTAAAATTTTATTTTGAAACATTAGTTAAATAGGTTAAATTCGAGCTCAAACTCGAGCTTAATTAAAAGCTCGAGAAATCTTACTCGAATTCGAGCTCGAGCTCAATCTGAGTCATGTCGAGTCGATCTTTGGTTCGAGTTCAAGGTCGAGTTTGAACACTTGAGCCAATCGACCTGAGCTCGAACTACTCAAAAAAATGGTGAGCCGAACTCTAGCTTTATTTTTCAAGCTCGATCGAGTTCGGCTCGGCTCGTTTATACCCGTAACCTTGTTCATGTTGATAATTAACTTCGTCCTTGATGTCACCATGCTGTTGAAGCTGTCGATCTCATTCACCATGCACCTCAAAATGCAGATCAACTCCCTGGCGAAACTGCTGCTCCACCTTAAAATATGACAAACGTTGTTCATGCTGATGACACCCCGTCCTTGATACCTACTACGCTGTCGAAGCTGCCGATGCACCTCAAAATGTGGCAAACCTTGTTCATGTTTCATGCATGTTGATGACCCCATGCACCTCAAAATGCAGATCAACTCCTTAGGGGAGCTGCTGCTCCACCTCAAAATGTGGCCAACCTTTCATATTGATGACCCCGTCCTTGAATTTTATTTTCAAATATTAAATTTGAATGCATTCAAATTAGAGTTGAAATCTATTCGTATTGACACAAAATGGTTTGTATGATACCTAAAATGAGATTGATGGAGTATATTAATTGAATGAGAAGTCATTGTTTTGGTTTGGTATATGTTTATTTGATTTCTAATTGATGTGTGTCTAATGGTGGATTTTGTACATTATTAAGTGTTAATTGAGATATGGGAAAGAGGATGTAGGTGCAGATACGCTTCCATCTATGAGTGAAAATTTCCTACTCTAATGAGAGTTTACGTCATTTATACTGCCATTGGTCTATTCCTAATCCTATTCCTTTTCCTACTTCTACTTCGATCTATCTATTGGTACAGCATTGTGAACGTTTTTGGGTCCCCTTCCTCTTCGCCTCCCATTTCGATTCTTGAATCAATTATTGTCTAAAATATTGCTAGGATTATATTTTATAACGAGCCTTGTCTCTGCTGACTTATGGCTATTTGACAGTAATAGAGGGATCGTTATAAGGTGAATATTAAACTATTGCGTGCACACATAACATATTATCCTAGATAAGCTTTGTCTTGGGATTCTTTATGGATGAAGGGGAATCAAATGCTTTAATTATCTATAACATGTAATAGATGCAAATTCTCTCATTTTCCTCATTGGCCTTGGCGAAGCAGCACCAAACTCTCTCATAGATGCAAACTATCTCATTTTTGAACCCAAATCTTGAAGGGAATTACAATTTCATTCCCACATAATTCTACATAATTTTGGAGGCAAGCAAATTTCTTTAAATAAAATTAAAAAATAATTTTACTAGCCACATCAGCTTAACCATACGCCATGTCATCAAAATCTTGTGGAACCTAAAAAAAAATGATAAATGCAAAAAAATTAAAAAGTTTATGTATCGAATTAGCTCTTATTTTAAATCAAGAGGTTAATTGAGCACTTGTGAGAAGTAGATATATATTTTAGCCTCTTAAATTTCAATGTCGCCCAATTACTTTAATTATTCTGCGTAAAAAATAAGAGCATATTTTGTACTTTATCTCCTTATCTTATAAGATAGAATTGAACATATATTTCAAAGCATCAACACTCTATAAATAATACGGAAAGTGAAATCCGCTATACACAACAACACTCCTTTAATTTCACAACTAAGTTCAGAAAAAAAAAAAAAAAAAAGAAATAAAAATATATGATGAATAGACGCCCAAATTTATCTTCATCATCAAGCCAGTCGTTGGTGTGTATTGAGGGTACTTGGGATGACCCTCATCCCAAAATGGCTGCTGTGTGGGGAGACCCAGCGGACATCGGTGTTGAAAAGATGAACCACGCCTCCCACCCTCACCCCCTCTACCAATTCAAGCTCGAAATCCAGGACCAAACCAACTGCAGAATCTGCAGCTTGCCGATTACCGGCTTTGCCCATGGCTGTGAAGCTTGCGACTTCTTCATCCACGACGAAGACTGCCTCAAAATGAAGGTTCAAATCCATCACAGATCTCACCCTGCGCACCCTCTCCACCTCCGCCCTCCATCCTTTTATCGCAATACATGCGACGCTTGCCTCTCTCCAGCCAACACCCCTTTCTACCGCTGCAGCATCTGCGATTATGACCTGCATGTAGACTGCGCTGTTTTAACCACAAGTGACACGGCGGTTGACGGAACCTTGATGCGGCTATACTACTCGTTTCCAGTGGGGGCTAGTGTCTGGTGCAAAAAGTGCAATGGTGAAATTTCTAGGAGAGGCGGCTGGGTGTGGTATGACAAGGATACAGGTTTCACTGCTCATTTCAACTGTGGAAAACCAGTAATACTTAAACATCAACCTTGTTTTCTAAGGCCCTTGATGCGTTACCTACGCAGGATAAGCTTCTGGTAATGATAATTTTAATAATATGATACAACCCCACAACTAAGCAACGGAAGAGCCGAACGAGCTGCGAAGGTCAACTCGCATTCGTAAGGAAAGGAAGGATCATGGACGGAGCCAAAGGGGAGCAGGGGCAGCAGCCCCCATCCCCTACTCCATCTTCATCCCATATATAATCTTTGTATGTATATATTTATATATAGTAAAAGTTTTAATATTAGTATAAAGAAATAGATGAATGTTAATAAGAAATGAGATAGATTAGTTTCGGTGTTTTATTTTAAGCCCCTATCCAACAATATTTATACTTATATTTCTTGGGTAATTTTTTTTTTTTTAAATTATCTCGGAAAAATCGCATTTTTGGTTCCTCAATTAGTACCCTATTTGCAATGTTATCTTTGCTTTCCAATTTCGATAGTTTTGGTCCCTCAAGTAGTCCGACGTTAGTCAATTTAGTCCTTCTGTTAGTTAATCATCATAAACTTCGTTTACAGCATGGGTATTATAGGAACTTCACTTAGCATTGATTATATTAGCTTAGTTCCTTACCGTTGTGTCTGTCATTTCTTCCAGCACTACCTGCAACCCTAACCCGTTGGAAGAGGAGTTGCTCCAAGCCATTTCATCCACCACTTTCTTCAACCGTAATCTTAATGTCTTCAAGCACACTATCAGGTCAACACAATGGATGCTAGAAGTGCGATGTTGGTGCGGCGAAGTGGCTCCGGTTAAAATATCGTGGAGTAATGCGAATCCAGGGAAGAGATGTAGAGCTTGTCCACATTATGGAGTAAGTAATTAAACCGCACTGTTGTTATTCAGTTGTTACCAAACACCAATTTGGTTTAGAGATATTGAGCTTGTCCACATTATGGAGTAAGTAAACTGCAATGGAGTAAGTGCAACAAACAATCCTTATTCGTAATTGCAATGAGGAGGTTTAGAGACAAGAGCCACACAACAAGGGTATAGAGTATCAAATGATGAGAGGACTTTACCAGGCCCCATTTGGTTTCTTGGAAAAAGGAAAGAGCAAGAGAGGGGGTAAGATTTGCAATCCCTTTCTCTCAAGTTTGTTTGAGACGAGCCATCATACCCAACTGCAATGTCGAGCACTCGAGCATAGCATGACGCAGGAGCAGTGGATTTACTAGACAAGTAATAAAAGGGTCACTTTGCCCTCCGTTCCCACTAAAATTATTCCCTATGCACTCTTGTGGTATGGATAATTTCATCAAACTTCATTAATCCCATCATTAATCTAATGTTTATCTGATCCTAATTCCAAAGCCCAGGAAATGAATAGATATTTCAATGATTCAATCTCATCTTTAAACCCCAAAGCCTTGTGGTCAAAAACCCTCTTTCTCACCTACTTAAACAAAACAACTCATAGTAAGTTAGTAGATTATTTTAGATTTCAAGATCAAATGTCAAGTACAAAACGGAAAGTTCTGTCATATCCAGCCTACATCAAGGCAGGATAAGAAAGTAGATTTTCCCAAACATAAAATGGCATAAATCCCAAAAGAGGCAGGAACAAGGAAATGTGATCTCCATCATCTCAACTAATTCAAATATAAATAAGCAAGTAAAAAGCAATTAAACCAAACAAACAGCATAACATAAACATCGGGATCAATAATAATAATAATAATAATAATAATAATAATATTATTATTATTATTATTATTATTATTATTAATTTTATTATTATTATTATTATTATAATATTATTATTATTATTATTAATTTTATTATTATTATTATTATTATTATTATTATTATTATTATTATTATTATTATTATTATTATTATTATTATTATTATTATTATTATTATTATTACATCAAGTAGTTAGTTAATTATTTAAAAATAATGGGAGTAATTATAGGTGCAGTACATGGCCTTGATGTTAGCTTTACATGGAGCATTAATTCCTTAATTTTAGCATTTGATATAAATAGTATAAATAGTCTTTGTATTCAAGCATTTTTTATCAACCAAGTGAATTCAATTCCTCTCTCTCTCTTCTTAATTATATGTATATACGTATAGATATATTATATTATATTTAATATATATATATATATATATATATATATATATATATATATATATATTAAATATATTATATTTATATATCTAACATTTGGTAGACAGTCAACCTTTCAACCCCGAGATATTGTTCGTAGTGAAATACCGCTGCAAATTTCAATATTGTATGGTCAGGTCCCAAATTGGACGAGAAACTCGATTACAATTATTGACAAACACTAGTACAAAAAACATCAATAAAATCGAATAATTCGCGTCCAAAATTTAAACTTTGGACGCGTAATGTGGGAGGCGGTGGCATTTTTATAATTAAAATGCCACTATATAATTAAATTTTTTTTTAAAAAAAAAAATAAAACACTGGGCGTCCAAAGTTAAGTAACTTTGGACGCCCAATGTATACGGGCTTTGATAAGCGTCCAAAGTTTCAAACTTTGGATGCCCATTATTTTTTGTTTTCAGATCAAAACCCTTCCCGTCGTTCGTTGTCTCCATAGCCACCGCTGCCGCTCTCCATCTCCCGTCGTCTCGCACTCCTCCATCGCCGGCCGTCTCGAGCAACGTCGCCTCCTCCATCGCTCCTCGCACAGCTCCATCGCCGCCGGTCTCCAACGCTGTCGCCTCCGCCACCAGTCTCCAGCCCCGCCGCCGCCGCTACCGGTCCACGCCGCAAGGTCGCCGCCCCAAGAAAGTCGTCGGCTGTGGAACGGTACGTATATATATTATTACGGAGTAATTCATTTTAGACGGAGCGATTTGTTGATTATTTGGATTATTGGGATTATTTTAGACGGAGTAATTCAAAGTTGTCGGATGAGTTGATTATTTGGATTAGCAGCACGCGGCTATAGAATTGGGAGTAGTCCTTGACCAATTTGTTCCTTATGGTTTGAATAAATCGTGATGATACATTGCTAATAATTTATCACCAACTAGGAGGTTGACTTTTATTGTTCTGCAGTTTTGCATTGTGAACAGTGGCGATGCTTTTAGTTTTAAGCATAATTGTTTGATTCATAATTTGCTTAATGACTCCAAGAAAGTATTGAAACCCTCACATTTCTTGCAGCTGCAGAGGAACTATGCAGCTGCCTCTGCTCTCTTGTGTTCCTAAGTTTCTATCTTCTTATAAAAGGGGCATTTCTGTGTATGTTACTGAGATAAGATTGAAGTGATTGTGACTCATGATTCTAATTTCAACATCTATTGCATTTTTGTAACTTCTTCTGTTTTACTTATGAATTTGTATCATTAGGGGGAATTGAAAGAGTGGGATCAATGTCAACTACTTCTTGGTAATGCAAATGTGGATGAACATGGAAATGTTACTGAACTTGGGGATTGTAGTAGCATGTACCTGGACAAGGATGGTGAAGATCGATCGTGAAATCAATGTATGTTAATTCCTTGGGAGGCTGGGGGAGGAGATTCACCTTAGTTTTCTTTCTGTGAATTGTAATTGTAATTGTAGTCTGTTCTGATGTCCTCTCCATTATCCAGTTCATTTAGTGTTTGTATTGTGGCAGATTTTGTGTGCAATATGCTTCTTGAGGGGCAAGGCATCTGAAGCATTGGAGAACCGTGCACAAGCTCGACTATGGTAAGTATAGTAATTTCCTAACACTATCTTGTTTGATATAGTATTTTGTAACTGCTCTATTTTCAATATTCTCATCTATATATGATTATGTGATTTCTTATCCTTTTCCTGTTGTACAGCATGTGTTCACATACTATTGGGAGTAACTCATCTTTATATAACTCGTAACTGTTTCTATGACTTATGCAGGTACAAAGCTGCCATCAAAGTTGATCCTTTGTGTTACGAGGTGTGCGGCTTGATTTGTTATTTGGTTATTGATTCTCCAAATTTTTATAGGTGCTTTTTCCTGACTGAATGGAATTGTAAATCCTAAAACTATTTTCTATACATGACAACAAATATACAAATGTATTTAATCTTTCTTTTTTAAATATATTTTTCTTGCCTTTTTACAGGCCTTAGCATGCCTTGTAGAGAATCATATGCTCACTTGTGATGAAGGTGAGGATTCATTAATCATTTAATCTATATTACTTTCTAATTTATTGTTGGGATTGATTGCTTAAAAAGATTGGTGTAACTTTATATGGAAATAGGAACTGCAGAAATATCTGAGCAAAGGCATTTTGAGACTCCAGTTTACTCAAAATTATAACATTCTGTTCTATTTTCTTGTGAAATGAAGTTCATTCATTTGTTTTAATTGCTGCACTCTATCAGAGGCAAGCCTACTCTCATCATTACTGTTTGGTGCTGAAGATGGTTGGCTCTCTTCATTCTATTCTTGCTTCGTAAAGAAGGTAATAATTTCATATGAGCTGCCATCAACAGGTCTCAAAAGAACTATACTTTTAGTGAAATCTCTAATGGACAAATGCATTGTTTTCTTAATGTTAATGGTGCTATTGGCTGTTAAATTGCTTGTACTTCATTGCTGTCTATCTTGATCCAGTTAGATATTGCACATTGGCTCTACAATGGTGGCTTCCTAGTGCATTTCTATCAATTCCTATATGTAGAGTCAGACCTCCCAAAGCATTGTACTCAAATTTTCTTTAATGATAATATATAGGCATTGGGTTGAATTGTTTTATCACTTTTTCCAGGACAAAGGTGTCCTACCTTCAGAGAAGCTTGGTTTTAACATTCAAATTCCATCCTCATTAAAGAAGCAGCTGGTTGATGATTGTGAATTTATTACCCATTTGGACAAGGTAAAAAAAGAGGCATTCTCTGTATGTATACATTGAAATTCAGTTTGGTGTAAGTTTATTAAGCTCTGGTTAACATTTGTTTTGTGTACACATAAAGTTAGCATAAGTGCATTTAGTTCAATGAAAAAAATCTAAATAAAGTACATAGGTCATAACAAGTTTAAGGTATTAATGCCTTTTATATACATATTTTGCAGCTTGTCCAACTTTCTCGTTCTCCGAGTGTAAATGAAATACTAAGCAAGTACAATGACTATCGCCTAAAAAACGATGGAATGTGAGTTCATGTTATTTCGCATGTGCCTCCCTATCTTGATAATTTTTTAGTGCAAGTTGTTTCTTTTATTAGTGATTTTTGCATGATATGGTAATTCTTTGAAGCTGAAATTTCTCAAGTCTTTATTCTAATGGAATGTGAATATTTATACTAAATATGTTTTTGTTAGTAATTAGGTCTCATTATACTTTTAAAACTAGTTGTCTGTTCAGCTTGTGAGGATGGATATTGTGGTTCTGATGTTCAATATTTTTGGTGGGTGAAGAATTGCTGATTCAGTAAGCGAAATTCTTAGTGGATTGCAATGTTACTTTGACAAAGCATTGTCTGCTATGCTCCTTTACAAGAATGAGCGCGAGCAATATCAAGAAGCAATTACAGATGGAGTCTCTCCATCTGTGTATGGTGCTGAGCATCTATTACGTTTTGGTATGCTCGTGTTTTTTGGTCTGCAGTTTCAAGTAGTTTATTTTAATTATTAACATTTAGAATTTGTAGTTTATTTATAGTAAAATGTTATTAGAATTGAAATTTTAGATTGGTGTGTTTTAGTTGATAGAATTGGTGTGTAGTATACATCTTAAATTGATTAATGTTGAAATATATTATCTGGTAGTTATGCTGGAATGTACAGAAAAATATTGGTAGTTTTATAAAATTTTTTTTTTTTAATTTTTCTTTTACTATACGCGTCCAAAGTTCACGAACTTTGGACGCGAGTTATAATTTTTTAAAGGGAAAATCAACGATTTGGTCCCTCAATTGTTAGCAAAATATCAATGTAGTCCCTTAATCGCGAAATCATCGATTTAGTCCCTGGAAATAACTGTTTTTAGTTGATTTGGCCCCTCCGACCGTTCCCCGTTGAAAATCCGGCGAGAGCTCCGATTTGCCATGGGCAATTTGGTCTTTTCACCCCATATTCTTCCTCCACCGACCCTTTAATGCAGTTTCTTTCAGACATTGTCACAAACACTTGGAAGACACTTTTCCAGGGAAGAATTTACACACCAACGCATGCTTCAAGCTCAGCAAGACCCATCCGATGCATGAATAGTGTCATGATGATCAAAGCCCAGACACCGGCATTGCTCCAGCCACCGGGAATGAGATGCAATTCCGGTCCTTCAAATGCTGCAATCCAATGCCCAACTGCAACCCCAGCACAGAATAACAGCTTCTGAAAATTAGGAAGGTTAATATCCCACTTGGGATCGTGCTCTCTTGGAAAGAAATCACCATATAGACGCTTCCGAACACTCACATTGAAGAAAAAGAAGTAATGGTATACGAAAAAGAACACGAATGGCCATCCTTCGAGAAATCCATTGAAGTGAGCAGTTGGGACTAAT